TTTTTCTTTTTGAGACATGGTCTTCCTACAGCACCAGCTGGCCTGGAACTCACTATGTAAACCAGGCTGGCCTTGATCTCACAGAGATCTGCCTGCCTCTACCTCCTGAGTGCTGGGATGAAAGGTGTGCACCACCATACCCCTCTTTGGATTCTAATTTATATTTGCTCAATCCAGACTTTTTAAACTCAATCAGAGGAAACTGTCAGTATACCAACTAAGAAAAAAAACAATAGCAGATTTTGATATATAAAAATGTTCATTTTAACCTATCAAGTGGTATATTTATTTGCTGTCTCCTAAATATGCCCATTCTGTAGATAAAAGCAGCATTTGAACAAAGAATCAGTCTTTCAGCCACTGGATACTTCAGGTAATATTTAAGTATTAAATATTAAAGTAATATTTTGACTTAAGCTAAAAAATATGAAGTTGCTTTGGGTCTCAGTTCTCTAATTCATAGACAGAATTATATTATACTGGAAAGATGGCTTATCAGTCAAGAGCACTGGCTGTTCTTGCAGAAGACCCAGGCTTGGTTCCCAATACCCACATCTCCATTTACAACAATTTATAACTCCAATTCCAGAGAATCTGACACCCTGTTCTGACTTCTTCGGTCATCAGGCACACAAGTGGTGTACATGCATACATGCAGGCAAAACACTCATACATTTTAAATAATAAATCTTTTTTAAAAAAATAAAGATTTGTGTTCTTGCAGAAGACCCAGGCTTGGTTCCCAATACCCACATCTCCATTTACAACAATTTATAACTCCAATTCCAGAGAATCTGACACCCTGTTCTGACTTCTTCGGTCATCAGGCACACAAGTGGTGTACATGCATACATGCAGGCAAAACACTCATACATTTTAAATAATAAATCTTTTTTAAAAAAATAAAGATTTGTGGGCCGGGCGTGGTGACGCACGCCTTTAATCCCAGCACTCGGGAGGCAGAGGCAGGCAGATCTCTGTGAGTTCAAGGCCAGCCTGGTCTACATAGTAAGTTCTGGGCAGGAGGGGTGGTGTATACCTTTAGTCCTAGCACTTGGGAGTCAGAGGGAAAATATATTTCTGTGAGACTCCAGGACAGCTGGGGCTACAGGGAGACCCCATCTCAAAAAAAAAAAAAAAGACCAAAAAACAATTAAATAAAGATTTGAGGGCTGGAGAGATGGCTCAGCAATTAAGAGCCCTGTTTTTTCTTGCAAAAGACCAGGGTTCAAATCCCAGCACCCACATGATGGCTACCCTTTATAACTCCAGTTCCAGGATATCTGACACTCTCTTTTGGCTTCTATGGGCATTGCATGACATGGGTATACTTAACATACATGCTGGCACAACACTCATATACATAAAAAATAAAAAACTCCATAGCAAATTCCAGGCCAGTTGTGGTTACAGGGAGACCCTGTCTCAAAAAAGACAAAAAATAAAAAATAATGAAAATAAAGATTTTTATGACACAATTATGGAAGTCTAGTTTAGGCCCAAATTATATTAATTCACATGAGTTTTTGAGTGGTATAAAGAAATATTAAATAATAAAAAATATTCATAGAGGGCTAAAAACACTCTGACTTATTTAATACTTGTTTGGTTATTTATTTAATGCACTTGCTAGGCAGACATTCTACCACTGAGCTCCATTCCCAGACCTTAACTGTTCATTATTGTGCATAGTAATTTTACAAATCCTCCTTCATTGTAAAAGGAATCACTTGTCCTCATGTATGCAGTGTCAATAGGAGAGATCCCTCAATAAATTCATGTTAGTTAAGTAAACAAAGCAAAGAGAAAAGAGAGGACTATCAAATTCAAGCTGTATATAGCATTCTTTTTACAATTTAGCAAAATAAACCACTAGACTACCCATGCACAAAAGGAAATGCTTATGGAGAAAACCAAAATGGAGATGATTTCCCAGCCTAGTGCAATCCCAGAAGGGAGCAATTCAGCCCTCATGGCTGGGAATTTAACTCAATGAGAAAGAGCTTGTCTTGCTGGGGGTAAGACTCTGGGTTTAATCCCCAGCACTGAAAAAAATTAATTAAAAAGTTAATAATATTCATTGACTATATCTCCCACTGTAAATTAATTAATTGAATCACCAACCCTCCTTTACCAATCTTCTAGAAAAATTCATGTGTATGTATTAGTGTTTTGCTTGCTTATACGTAAGTGTGTAATGGCCCATGGACACCAGAAGAGGGCATTGGATCCCCTAGAACTGGAGTTACAGAGAGTTGTTAGCCACCTAGTGGTTATTGGGACCCAAACCCCAGGTCCTTTGCAAGAGCAACCATTGCACTTAACTGCTAATCCATCTTTCCAGTCCTCACCAGCCTTATATGACCATCAATTCCCTGTGACCTTGATTAATACAATCATTGGAGGTCCCCCTGGGAATACTGATGAAAATCAGTAGAGTTTCCCAATGTGCTCAAGTTTCAAACTATCACCTGGGGACATGCATTGTTAGGACCAGACCAAACGTCCATTGGCTTTTCTGTCTTTCACATCCTCCCCACAGTACAACACATGTCCTCTTTAAAACAGAAGCAGATAACTGGTTAGGTAAATAAAAAGTAGCATCTTAAATGAGTTAAAAATTCATTGAAATGAGCATCAATCCATTGAAATGCTATCATAAAACTTTGGTAATTTTTTAAATGAATGGACATCTTTTGTATTTTCTGCTCCCCAATATAAAGGACTTTATTTCCTCAGGGGCTACAAGGCCTTCATGGACTGGGAAAAGGGGGAGGGAGATCCATTTCCATACTATGTCTACGGAGCTGCCTGTTCTGAGATTGAAATTGATTGTCTGACAGGTGCTCACAAGGTAAGTCAAGCCTAACATTGCCCTGGACAAGTCAGAGCATCAACAACAGAATTGCACTGTGCAGAAGGTAGCCCCGTGTCATTACATAATATGCAACAGGAAGTGGAGTCTTTCAGTTCCATGGGAATTTCAAGGGATCTAGGCTTATCTTGGAATTTTCACATAATATAGTAGTCAAAAAGGAATGGCCTGTGACCAGAAAACTTAATGTGTTAAATTTTTTCATTTCATTTCAGACAACAAAATCACTTTTCAAAGCTTTACCCAGAAGCAAGTTCTATTCCTAAAGGAAAAAAGTTATTTAATGTGAATGGATGGATAATTTAGCCCAGAGTCTGCAGCAAATGCTTTGAAAACACATAGCAACATGCTGATATTTCGCTAAAGTCCCAAATCCCAGGGGAACTACTGACTGATAAATAGATTGGGCTGTGAGTGGGATATGAAAATGTTTGTACTTACTTTTTAATTGATCAACCAAGGAGCCACCTATTGAAGACAGGGAGCATATTTAACCCCAAGTTAACAGCTTGCACCATAAATGATAAACCTGTGAATTATAGTCCAGGTACCATTCTGGGAACAAAGATTACAGAAGCCTTATGTAGAGTAACATGGAAACAAAGTATAGTAAATTGTTAGGAAGATTATAGGACACACCAGTGATGGCCATATCATATCAAAATGCCTTCATCATCCCATCATTGGTTAACTTTTCCTCCACTTCAATGTCATATGAATAGGATACTTTTTGAGACAGGGTCTCAAGCAGTCCAGGATAGCCTTGAACTCCCTATGTAGTTGAGGATGACCTTGAACCGCCTGCCTCTGCCTCTCAAGTGCTGGGATTATAGGCATGCACCACAATACCCAGTTTATTCTGGTGCTGGAGATCAAACTCGGGGCCTTGTGCTTGCTAGGCAGGCACTGTACTGACTAAGCCACATCCTTAACCTGTGAATAAGTTTGTTCAAATATACAGTAAGCCAGGCATGGTGGTGCACACCTTTCATCCCAGCACTTGGGAGACCAAGGCAAGCAGATGTCTGTGAATTTGAGGCCAGCCTAGTCTACAGAGCCAGTTCCATCCCGGCCAGCCAGGGTTGCATAGTGAGACTCTGTCTCAAAGAGAAAAGGAAGAAAAGAAGAAAGAAAGAATGAAGGGTCATCTGGAGAGTGTTGCCCTCATACTTTCATTCAAGTTTTTCCTTAGGATACAGTAATATTATGTTTTTGTGTTTTACATTTTTATTACATCTGTTTACTATTTTTCATGGAGATGAGGAGGGAACATGACATATAGTGCATGTGGAGGTCAGAGGACAACGTGAAGGAGTCAATTCATTCCTTTCACCATGTGGGTCGGGGGAATGGACCCATCAGCCTTGGCAGCAAGTGCCTTTACTCTCTGAGCCATCCTTCTGTCCCATATGCCTCCATCTTTATTTGAGATCATTTTTAAGAGAAAAATTCATGTGATCACAGATTGCTTATGTGCTCATTTTAAACCCCGTTTTCTAGTGTTTTCCACAGTATGGCACACGTAAATAATGATATTTGTGCTGCAGTCCTGTGGATAACAGCCTGGAGCCCTGCTTCCGGCCCCCTCAAAGTCCAAGTCCCAGTACCTTTGCACACCTGGAACCAATTTGAGGCTCCACCTTAGAAGGAAAGCTGTTTTCAGAGATAAACTACTTTTAAAATGCTTCACCCTCCCACGTGTGCTACCAGATTTAGCAAACAAAAATAGGGGTTGCCTAGTTAAACCTGAATATCAAGTAAACAACAATTTCCCAGTGTACATATGCTGCATGAAATACTTGGGACATACTTATTTTATCTGTCAATTATACCAAAGGGCCTTAGAAGAAATTTCTAAAGAAACAAACAAGGGGAATCTTCCAGAATTTATGGTGTCAAAATAGTTAAAATTTGGTCTTCCCTGTGCCTTCCAGTTTATATTTATAGCTGAAGGTCCAGAAATTTCTATATAATATTGAGCCCTTACAACAGTTTATTCTTTGAAGAGGCAAAACTTATAGTAATCAAAGAAAAATCAGAGAAAAGGTCCACTATGGCCAATTCTGTGACATACTGATGCTTCAGCTGTTTGTGGCCAGTGAGCAAAAACATCCATCTACTGAATCACCATCACTCTCCATTGTCCCACACCCACAGCACAAACCACACCAAGTTTCAAGGTAGATATAAACTGAAGGTCCCGTCTGAGGTATCTCTGGTCTCCTTCCCTATCCAGGTTGAAAAAGAAAGCTAGTCCTGGGGCCTGAGAGGCCAGGATTTGAATGGCCATTGAGGGCATGGTAGAAAACACCTGAAATCCCGGCACTTGAGAGGCTGAGGCAGGCAAGCCACAAGTTCAAGGCCAGCTTGGGCTGCACAGCAAGATCCATTTCAAAAACTAAAAAGGACTTAAGATGTAGATCAGTTGGTAGAGTACCTAGCATGAGGGAAACCTGAAGGGTTGAATATTGATCATACTTCTCCTCAGTGTGTATGTACTCCCAACATTCTAAGGGTAAAGTGCTTGAGGATCAGAAGTTCAAAGTCATCTTCAAGCTAAGTTTAAGGCCAACCTGAGTTACATGAGAATTTGTTGAAAGAAACATAAAGAAAGATAGGAGGTGTCCTAGTTTGTTCTTCATTGCTGTAACAAAACACTCTAACCACTACCAACTTGGAGAGGAAAGGGGTTATTTAGCTTACATATCCCGGGTCACAGTTCATCCCAGAGCCCAAGGTAGGAACTCAGGGCAGGAACCTGGAGGCAGGAGCGGGAGCACAGGCCATGGAGGAACACTGCTTACTGGCTTGCTCCTCTGGTCCCTGCTCAGCCTGCTTTTTTTTATACAACACAGGCCCACCAGCCCAGGGGTGGCACCACCCACAGTGGGCTGGGCCCTCCCACGTCACTCAGCAATCAAGAAGGTGCCTCATGGACATGGCCACAGGCCAGTCCAATGAAGGCAATTCCCCAATTGAGGCTCCCTCAACCCAGGTGTGTCAAGTTGACACTAAAGCTATCCAGCACAGGAGGGAAAAAAGGGAGAGAGAGAGAGGAGAGAGAGAGAGGTCCAACCCAAAATGGTAGCTAGAAAGGAGCCCAAATATTATACCTAAACAGAGAAAGTTGTTACCAGTATAAACTCTAACAAAAGGGGGCTGAAGAAAAGACCACAAATATTCCTGAAACATTAAGAAGCTTTCTAAGGCTCTCAGCAACCAGCACACACATGCACGCACACACACACACACACACACACACACACAGGCAGATCAACAAAGAGTTCATCTCAACATTTACCCTTGATACCTTTTAAGGTCTTGCAAAGCCCCATACTCATACACACCATTATACTAGATACTAGATGATTTTCTCAGTAACATAGGAACAAGGCCATCTGCATCCAGTAGTCATAAAGACTAGATGTGCTATGAATTCTACACGAACAATGAAGCCAGGTTGAGAATCAGGTAGACAAGTGGGCTCAATTATTTGCCAGGTGATTCATTCACCACACCCCATCAAAAGAATGAATGTGAAAGATCTTGTCAGGCCTGGCACTCCATATGAAGAGTTCAGCTGATGTCTTCTCAGCTATAATGTTGGCAGGCCAGGGTGTGGTGGTATATGTCTTTAATCTCAACACCCAGCTAACATAGTACTTTTAATTCAAGTTTTATGGAGAGATAAATTTTATTTTGTGCAGAAAATCAGAACAGACATTGTCATGGATGCATGTTGCAGCCTAAATCCAGCCATTGATATTGGACAGGTAGGTGCTGCTGGTCCTTCTAGGGGGATACCCCTGCCTGGGAGTAGCTGAAGGGTAGATAACCACCTTCTTACAGTAATACATTGTCACCAGGCTTGAAATTGTCCCCCTCCAGATAGAAGGTGCATTTGTTCAAGGAATGGGCCTCTACACCACTGAAGAGCTACAGTATTCTCCAGAAGGTGTCTTATACTCTCGGAGCCCAGAGGAGTATAAAATCCCAGGCATCACTGATGTCCCTGAGCAGTTTAACGTGTCCTTACTACCATCATCTCAGACCCCACTAACCATCTACTCATCCAAGGTAAGCACTTGAGCCAGTTGTAGCATCATCAACAAAAGTCAGGGACAAAACAAAAACTGAATGGTAGCAGTTATCTGCACCAGACCACCTAGAGATGCGTCGCCTAAGAAAAACTGAGTTCCTGGAAAGAGAAGTAAGCCAGTCCTTGGCAGCCTGGGCCCCAATCTTATTATCTTCTTTCTCTGAAATCTAGCCAAAAGCAAAGATTTTATTTTATATTTTGTTCATTTATTTATTTGAGACAGAGCATCACTATGTAGCTCTGATTGGCCTGGAACTTGCTATGTAAACCAGATTGGCCTCAAATTCACAGAAATCTGCCTGCCTCCACCTCCCAAGTGCTGGGATTAAAGGTATATGCCATCATACCTAGCTTTTTTTAAAAAAAAATATGTATGTGCGTCTGTGTGTGGGTGTGTGTATGTGAGTACAGGTGCCCTTGGGCACCAGAGGTGTTAGATTACCCTGGAGCTGGACTGACAGTTGTGAGAACCAAACTCAGGTCCTCTACAAGAACAGTACCTACTCTTAACCCCTGAGCCATCTCTCCAGCCCCAGGAATGTTTTTTGTTTGTTTCTGTTTTGTTTTTTTGAGATGGATCTCAGGTAGCCCAAAATGACCTCAAACTCAGCATGTGGGCAAGGATAAACTTGAATTCCTGATCCTTCAGCCTCTTCCTCCCAAGGGCTGGGATTACAAAAGTGTCCTAGGTCTCTCTAAGAACTTTAAGAATATAATATTGAGGGCTCAGTCACTAAAGTGTTTGCATTGAAAGCACATGGACCTGAGTTGACCACAGGACTCACATAAAAATTCTGAGCATGGTGGCACACATTTGTAATCCCAGAATTTGGGCGTGGAGACAAAAGGATCTCTGGGATTTCTTAGCCAGCCAGTGTAGCCAAATTGGTGAACTCCAGGCCAATGAGACATCCTGTCTCAAAGGAAATAGCATTTCTAAGGAGGATACTCAAGGTTGTCTCTGGCCTCCATACACTTGCACACATGTGCACATGTACCCCCACAAAAAAAGTAGGGAGTGAGGGAATAAGAATATAATGTTGAGCCAGACATGGTGGCTCACACCTATAATCCCAGCACTTGGTAGACTGGAACGGGGATTACCACAAGTTTGAGGCCAGCTTGGCTACATTGCGAGTTCTAGGCCAGCTGGGCTTCAGAGTGAGACCCTCTCTCAAAAAAAAAGGAAAGGAAAACAAAGGAATACAATGTTAAAGACATGATGCCACTGAAATCTTAGTGATCTTAGAGAGCAGTGGACTGAAGACCTGAGCTCCTGCCTAGCCCCACCATCCTCCTTTGCTCTCAAGTAAGTTACCTACCTCTGAGGGGCTAGCGGTCCTCAGCCATACCAAGAAGCGAATCTAGAGCAATGGGTCTCAACCCAGGCTGGGGGCATTCTACCCACCCCCCCACATGTGTACACACAGATATTTGGCAATGTCTATACTCATTCCTGGTTGTTACACTGGTAGGTGGAGGGGATTTTACTGCCAGTGGAAGCTGGGGGGGGGGCAGCTAAACCACCTTCAGCATGCAACACAGCCCCTACAACGAAGAAGCATCCAGTCCCAAATGTCAGGAATCAAAAACACCAGCGAACCTTTAATAACGACTAAAGGAAAGGAACAGCAAATTAAAATAAAGGTCAATGTTGGTTCCGTTACTTATGCAGACCACACAAACCTCAGATAGAAACTTCACCAAGGTTTGAGATGTGAAATCTTCCTTAAAATCTTTTGGGAGACTTCCCACTAGGAGAAAATTGTTTTTCTTTTTTTCAATTTTTTATTTTATTTTTATTTTATGTGTGTGAGTGTTTTGCTTACATGTATTTAAGTGCACATGTGCATGCAATGCCCAGGAAGGCCAGAAGAGGGCCTTGGATCCCCTGGAACTGGAGTTCTGGATGGTTGTTTGCCGCCATGTGGGTGCTGAGAACCAAATCAGCTTCCTCTGTCAGTGCTTTTAACCACTAAGCCAGCTCGCTAGTTCTAATTTTATTTTTTTAATAGTTATTATTTTTACTTTATTATTTTTATTTTATGTGTATAAGTGTATTGTCTGCATGCATGTAAGTACACCCATGTTACACAATGCCTGTGGAAGTCAGAAGAAGGTGTTGGATCTCCTGGAACTAGAGTTCTGGATGGTTGTTAGCTGTCATGTGGGTGCTGGGATCCAAACCCGGGTCCTCTGCAAGAGCAGCCAGTGTTCTTAACCACTGAGCAATCTCTGCAGCCTTCAATTTTCTTTTTGAAACAAGAAAAATGTATCTGCAAGATTTTCATCATTTCCAAACTGAATCTTCCTTTCAGACCAGGAATTTCCTCTGGACATACACTGATGAGGCCATGGAGAATCCAAAGGAAGGAGAATCAACAGGGCCTTTGGATTCTTACTGCACAGGAATCATTTCACAGGGGAAGGCAAAAAGCCACCCAGAGCCCACTCTTAGCTCAGGCTAAGAGTTCCAGGGCAGGGCAGCCTAGCATGGTGGTGCATGCCTGTAACCTTAGCATTCAAGAAGCAGAGGCAGGAAGATTTTTAGAAATTCAAAGCCAGCCTGGTCTACTTAATAGCAAGTTCCAGGCCAGTCTGAGCTACACAAAAAATAAAAGACTAGGAATAAAGCCCAGTGGTAGGATCCTTGCTTAGCATGTACAAGGCCCTGTATTTGATTTCTAGCAACAGAGAGAGAGAGAGAGAGAGAGAGAGAGAGAGAGAGAGGAGAGAGAGAGAGAAAGAGAGAGAGAGAGAGAGAGAGAGAGAGAGAGAGGAGAGAGAGAGAGAAAGAAAGAGAGAGAGAGAGTGAGTGAAAGAGAGATGACAGAGAGACAGAGAGAGACAAAGACAGTGAGTCACTAGGCATTCAGGACCCTTGAGCCATTCACGGAAACTCAGACTCAGAGACAATCACGGATTGTAAATCCTCTGTGTAAGGTACCATGTACTAACACAATTCTACTTCCTGATCCTCACAGCACTCCCTGAGACCCCATTGCCTATGCCTCACTGCCAAGGTAGAGAGGGGGTAAACCTACCCACCCAGAGATCTACCAGGACCATGGGCCATGATTCAGAAGCAGCTCAGCAGCTACAAAGTGGTGATCCACTGGACAAATCTTTGCCGAGATGTATTTTTCCTTGGCCTATGCAGAAAAACACCAGGAATTTTATATTAAAATTCAAATATGTAAAGTCTTTTGAGATGCCTAGCCCTAAATGACATATCTACAGTGGAACCTCTACACCTAAGACTCATGGAACACAGTAGAACGGGGAGGGGGGGTGGAGAGAATACTAGTACATCCCTCAGCTCTCACCAGCAAAGCTTCCCCATACAACAAAGTATGGTACACACAGAAAGCCACAACTGGCTGAGTTTTAGAGACTGAGTTTAGAGACACTGGCTGCATGTCCCTGGATAGGACTCCTGTATTAAACCTTACCCATGGCTTAGGGACCATTGTGGAGGGGGCAAAAAGATTGTAAGAGTCAGGGTTGGTACATGAACATATGGAAACAGGCTTTCAGGCCACTAGGAACTTGCTCATATGAACTTGCAACAATGGTGATAGCATGCACAAGACCCATGCCCAAGATTCAATTGGACAAAAACCCAGCATAGAACAAGGCAAATGGGCATTAGGCCCCAACCCTAGCCTAGAAACTATTGGCAACTGATTACTGCTGGGTAAGGGAAAGTAGATCTTCTATAAGGGAGAGACTCTAGATAGGTTGACTAGACTCCAGTGGGTTAACTTGCACTGAAGGACATCTAAGTGCAAATGCATGACCAGAAGGACTTAACATATATGACAGAATGCATGAAATCTGGGGAGGGGGGTACTTTCAGGGGGATGCAGATGGAGAAGGGGGTCTAAATTTGATTAAGATCTATTATATGAAATGAAAAAAACTCAATAAAAACATTAAAAATTTAAAAACCGAATGATCTTGTACTATGGGCTCCATTCCTAGAAAGTAACAGTCAGAAGCACAGAACAGCTGCTGCCTTCAGACATGGGGCATCTCTGTTCTTCCATAGTTCCTGCCACACCTACTCTTTCAACTACCCACTTCACTCACATTCCCTACTCCCTGCCTTGTACCTGCATGTGAAGTTCTGCCACCTTCCTAAATCACTGCACTTTCTCCTAGAGGCCTGCCTCCCTGAACCCCAGAGTCATAATGAAACTTTTTTTTTCCTTTGCTCATGAAGTTGGCCAGTTCAGTCCACTGAGAATTCTAATCAGCATGCCCTCCTCTCCTCACCACACAGAAATACACATACAAGCACACATGCATCCATTTCCCATAGAACAAAGACTTATCCCAGATTAAAGATCCAGAAAGTTCAAATTTTTTATCTATTATTTTTATTTTATGTGTGTGAGTGATTTGCCTGAATGTATGTAAGTGCACCACATGAGTGCAATGCCCACAGAGGCCAGAAGAGGGTGTCAGATCCCCTGGAACTGGAGTTACACATGGTTGTTAGCCACCATGTGGGTGCTGGGAATCAAACCTGGGTCCTCTGCAAGAGCAGTCAGTGCTCTTAACCACTGAGCCATCTCTCCAGCCCCAAGTTCAAAAATTTTTGAGTTCTAGGGTTTCAGTTGGTCAATAAACATTTGAGAACTGATTTGGGCAAGACTATGTCAATGCTGAACAAAACCCTGCCCCCAATTAGCTTGCAGTCTACTGTCGAAGTTTTTAAAACAAATGTACTTTCTTGCAGGGCCTTGGGGAGTCGGGGATGTTCCTAGGGTCATCTGTGTTCTTTGCCATCGCTGATGCAGTAGCAGCAGCACGCAGAGAAAGAAACTTGGCCGAGGACTTCATGGTGAAGAGTCCAGCAACACCAGAGCGGGTGCGGATGGCCTGTGCTGACCGCTTTACAGACATGGTAGGGAGCTGTGGTTTTCCTAACGCTCATTTCTCTTTCCTGCTTCATAGACTTCTTGCATAAATTCGTAACCTAACTTGGGTCTGACTGATCGATTTAAAAAATGATAAAAATCAAATCACAGAGCTGGGTGTGGTGGCCCATGCTTGTAATCCCATTAGCTTGAAAGCTAAGGCAGGAGGATTGCTGGGAGTGTGAGGTCAGCCTGAGCTACATAGTGACTTTCAGGTTGCTCTGGGTTAGAGGGAGACCCTGCCTCAAAAAATTAAAATAAAGGCCAGGCATGGTGGCACATGCCTTCAACCCCAGCTCTGGGGAGGCAGAGGCAGGCAGATCTCTGTGAGTTCAAGGCTAGCTTGGTCTACATAGTGAGTTCCAGGCCAGCTGGGGCTACAGGGAGACCTTGTCTCAAAATAAATAAAATAATAAATAAATAAACAAACAAATAAATAAATAAATAAATAGCAGCTGGAGAGATGACTCAGCAGTTGGAGCACTGGCCACTCTTGCAGAGGACCCAGGTTCAGTTCCCAGCACCCCCATGGCAGTTGACAACCCTCTGTAACTCCAGCTCCAAGGGATCCAATGCCCTCTTCTGGCCTCTGCAGGTTTGCATGCACAGGTACCTTTACATGCATGCAGGCAAAACACTCAAACACATAAAAAACAAAAATAAATAAGTAAATAAACAATAAAATAAAACAAATAATACAAGCCCAGTATGATGGTATTTACCTGTAATTCTGGCACTTTGGAGGCTGAGGCAGGAGGAGTTCAAGATCAAGGCCAGGCTGTGCTACACAGTGAGACAACATCTAAAAGAGAAAACGAAAAGGAAATCATATAATCGTATAAATACACTTTGGTTTGGGGGTCTTTTAAGTTCTGTTAATTTATCTATTGAAGATGTGGGAGTGCTGTGTGCATATGGGCATGTGTGTGCCTTTACCCACTGAGGCATCTCACCTGCTGCAACAAGTGAAGCTTGTACAGATGTAGCGCCTTAAAAAAAAATTTTTTTTTAGACTTCTTGAGATAGGGTCTTCCTGTAGCCCTAGCTAGGCTGGAACTTGATATGTAGCCCAGACTGGCCAAAATCTCACAGAGACCCACCTGCCTCTGCCTCCCAAGTGCTGGGACCAATGCTGCATGTAACTACACCAGCCTATCCATTATGTTTTGAAGCATGAACTAGTCTATGTCAGTGTTGCTGTGGTTAAATTATATGGCACAGAGAAATACTTTTTAAAACTTTAAGGCAGCCAAGTGTGGTGGTTAGAAATGCATGTGCAAACATCCAATGTCAATTGCATTGAAAAAGAATTTTTCTGTATGAAACTGTGTATTTTAATAATGAAATGGAGATCTTTTTTAAAGGTTAAAACTTCATTTATGTCTTATAGGGTTTATACTGAGTACAATATTGTATAACTGTAATAATTCAACTGTAAACCTAAAAATTTACAGCCAATTTTGAAAGAGATGCATCCTACCTCAGGAAACCGTTATTGAATATGTCAATTGTGTTGTAATGATATGCTTCTTCTAAGTATGTTGCTATTAAATAAATAATTTTTAAAAATTAAAAAAAAAATTTAAGGCAGCCAAGTGTGGTGGTACGTGCCTTTACTTCCCACACTCAGGAGGCAGAGGCAGGTGGATCTCTGTAAGATCAAGACCAGCCTTGTCTACACAGCAAGTTCCAGGCCAGCTGGGGCTACAGGGAGACCCTGTCTCCAAAAAACAAAACAAAAACATAATGGATAAATGGAAAACAACTAACTGATTTCTCAGAACTGCAGTAAGTACTCCTTCCCTCTATCCTTCCTCTGCCTGCCCTTCAGCAAAACCAACCCCCTAAAATAACCGGAGTATCATGAAGGCATATTAGATATGCCTATTAGATACTTTGCATGTTCCCCTCACAGAGTACACAGTGTCTGCCTGTCATTTAGAAACAGCACAACGCTGTTAGCGGGCCACTTTCCTGCTTCCTTCTATTCCCTGAGAATCCTTGCCCAGCACACAGAGCAAGAGTCATCTGAGCATAGACAGCAACCCCAACCTGCTGACCACCACTGACCAGCCACACTGGAGAGGTCATTGAAGCCGCATGTTTTCTAAAGGCAATTTAATTTCAGTAGCAACAGCTAGCATTGACTAAGTACCTGCTAAACATTTAATACATGTTTCTCACTAGTCACTACCACAACTCTGTCAGATAACATGACTTTCCTTATTTTACCAGTGAAGAAACTGAGGTGTAATAGCTGGCCCATGTACTAGGTGGGAGCTAAGTTTCTAATTTAGGTGACTGGCCCACACTGCCTCGTGAGAAAAAAAGAACATTCTTTACTTCCTAAAAGGAATTGCAGACTTTTAGAAACCTATTAAAAGGAGCCCTAAAACTTAACAGACCTCTTCAGAACATACAGCCATAGACTGAAAGAATAGCACAGACTTGTGGCTTACAGAGGACTTAATTACATAACTACTCATTTCCTTCCTTTCCATGGTCACTTCCTGTGTCCATCTCCAAATCTAGCTCAGCAGCATCAGCTGTACTCCAGTCATGCCAATCACTCCGTCATTTCCATCCAAGTGTCGGCCCAGCCAGTGGTTCAGACAGTCCTCCCACTCTACTGAACACAGCTAGGATGATGCTCATCTGCCTCTGGCCAGAGCCTCCTCCTCAGGCAGGGGCAGGGACCTGGTACCCTGCACTCCAGGACTCCTGTGTAAGACCACCCTGACCTTGCTCATGGCATGGCCACTGTAGAATCATATCATCTCATACCCCAAAGTTTCAGCATTTGTGGCCTTCAAAACAATGTTTTCAGTCACATTTTTGCAATAATAACCATCTTTTTCTGGAATGGGGGCAGATTCAGCAAACTGAAAACATAGCATGATAAAAATGTTGCTCCTAATCTTCCCATCTCACCACAGGCTAGTGCGTTCAGTCTCCCGATGGCATAGCTCTTGACTTGCATTCCCACAGTCCAGACTGCTTTCAGTAGTCTGGTTGTTTAGCAAAGCCATTGTTACATACAGTGAGAAGAAGTGAATCACTTAGATCTCATCCACCATTCTGGACCCCAGGCTGCCAGTGGCGTGAGGTGAGACAATATTTTCTGCCAAATCTGATGGTTCCTTGTTGAGACTTTCTTAACATGTCCACATTTACTAATCTATTGCCCACCAAGCAGACGCTTGGTGTCAATCTCACTTTTTTTTTTAAATAGTCCTAAATGGTTCCTAAATATTACCTCATGTTATAACCTATGTTTAATACCTTATACTGCTTTGTTTGTTTTTTGTTTTGTTTTGTTTTGTTTTAAGACAGGGTCTCACTAATGACCTGGAATTCACAATGTAGATCAAGCTGACCTTGAACTCACAAAGATCCATTTGCCTCTGCCTCCTGAGTACTGGGATCAAAGATGTATACCACCATGCCCAGACTTCACTTTTTTTTAATTAGGATGTCCCATTGGTCCTAGAGCTCTCTGATTGACTAGACTGGGGACCAGCAAGCCCCACGGATCTTCCTATCTCTACCTCTAGATCACAGGCATGCACTGCTACTACACCTGGCTTTTTACATAGGTGCTGGGGCTCCAATAACTCAGGTCCTCTGGCTTGTGCAGCAAGCATTTTGCTAACTAAGCCATTTCCCCATCTTCTTGCATATATATGAATTATATATGAATTAAAATCAGGTTTTAATTTATATATGTTTATAGATACAATGTGTCTTATTTGTAAACCCATTTTACAAAATGTGCATGCCGTTGACATGAAAAGATTTGAACAGTATCATTGGGAGTGACTCTTTTGAGGCTTCGTTCCCCAGAAATTTGGATTGGGAAGGCACTTTTCTCATGAAATGCACTCAGAGAAATACTTGTTTACACCCCAAAAGAAAATATCTCTCCAAATGTACTCATTCTATAAACTCATAATCTTTATTTATAGCCAATGGTTAAGTTGATAGGCCGAGAAGGGAAGACTGTTGACCTCCTAGTAGTAAGGCCACTCAGGCCACAGGGAGAGCAACCATCTGTCTTCCTGCTTATTCTGACCTGTAGTATTCCTAGCCATTCCACTGACCTGACAATATTTGAAAATATTAGCCAATCCCTGACAAGACTCAGGTGACCCCAGTGCTACTTTGTTCTGGCCTCCAGGCCCCTTCTTCAACTGTTCATGAGCAGAAAAAATAACTGGAAGCCAGACTGCAGTGGAACCTCTCAAGGAAAGCAGAGAGGAGACATTAGAAACTGTTTAACAAAGAAGACCAGAAACACAAATAATCTCCTGTAGGAAATGTCCATACTATTCCATCCAGACAGAAACATAGCACTAGTTGTGGAGTGCACATCTGTGATACTATGCATTTGGGAAGCTGAAGCAAGAGAATCATGAGTCTGAAGCCAGCGGGGCTACATAGTGATACCTTGTTTCAAAAAACAAATTGTATGCCTCTGTGTGTGTGTGTGTGTGTGTGTGTGTGTGTGTGTGTGTAACAAGAGAAGGTAGTGCACTTGCTTAGCATGCTCAAGGCCCTTGGTTTGATCCCCAATACAAGCTGGGGGTGGGGGGATCCTTTTGGCATTTGCCTCCCTCATACTCAATAGCCAGTCCTTCACCGTGTCCCCTGACAATCTCTTGAACCAGTCTGTTTCCTCCGTTGCCTGTCACCATGCTACTCACACATTCAACAAGCTCTTCCAGTGTCCCCATGTGTGTCAGGCATTAGGGAAAGAGCAGCAAATGAAACTGAAACTCTTGCCTTTGTGTGGTTTGCCTTCCATGACTCCAAGTCCAAGACCTAGCCCTACCCTGGGTCAAAGCAGGCTCCTCACTAGTCTCTCACACTCCCTGTAGCCAGCAGCTTGTGGAGCTGTCATAAGCAGTGGGACATGGGCTGGAGACACAGCTCCATCCTGCTGTCTGCAGAAGCCTAAGTGAGGAATTTTTGTAAGAGACTCAGGTGA